AACATGTCAATTAAGTTTCCTCTTAATTACATATTACTTTTTTTCTTATTGGCTACATAACATATATTAAGATTGATTGCTCTATGTTATTCTATATATAGTTACATATGTATAGTATCTTATTAACATGCACTACCAATTTTGAGTCGATCAAATTCAATATTAAAGCTAATGTTTATTATGCATGTAATTTAATTAGTAAATTAAAATAAATCAAAATCTAAATGTAAGTAATTATAAGCTAAAACAACTTTAATTTTGGATTATGGGGGGTAAGATAGATGATAGAATGGAATAAAGTAGATCATTAAAAACTACTTGCATTGTATAAAGCTAATTAGTTCATACTAATTGTATAGCTAAATACAATTGCATATTTATAATATTTACTACTAGTTGTATAGCTAAAAACAATTGCATACTTATATGATTGGTTGTGTAGCTCCAAAGTTGCGATCTAGAAAGTTAAACAAGGCACATTTTTAAAAGCAAAAGATAAAATGGAAGATTACTATTCAAAAATTTGATTTTATCATAAACGACAAAAATCAATAATTTTTTTTTGGTGGCTATGGACTACTTTCTACAAAACTGATCATTGAGCTAAAATTAATTAAAAAATTGACCAAAGCAATACTTTAATTAGTTGATATTGAGCTATATAATGACAAAAATCATGCATATAATTATTATGATTAAACTTGTTTAGGATCGGATACCTCGTCGTGCTTTGCAATTATTATTAATCAAGAATAACTCCATGCAAATATATTAATTAATTGTATAACCTAAGATCCGGATTCCTAATTATTAAACATTAATTAATATATAATATTTAGTACGTGACCACGGTGCCAGCATGTCATACACAAACGTATATACATATAACGGTTATTCAAGGTATATTAGTTCAGATATATTGTTGTTTGTTTCTAAATGTGCATCTGTCGTTTACTTTGTTGGTTAATTAGTGATTGATAGTGAAATCTTTAGTCATAGATATCATTTTATTAGAATAACAAGACAAGATCCATTTCTTTTAATCGCGCTCTTTTATGAAATTCAACCATTTAATTTTGTTTTTCTCTACTCTTATCTTTCTCGATCTCTCTTTTTCAAGTTTTTGTAGTCGGCCAGTCGAGGTACGGTTAAGCGCCACTTGCAACTGAACCAGTAGTTTCAATCAAATTCAAAATTTAACTAACTCTAGTGTTTTAAGGGGATGACAACTGGCAAAGTCTTGAAGGTGATGACGTGAACCTGAGTTTGATTTCTAGTCTATAATATAGTTATTTGTGACTTGTACACAGAGGATGATATAAAAATCTAAATTACTCCGTAACATTTTTATGTCATTCGTAGTAATGTGTAATTTTCATTTATATACAAAGTGTTTTTTCATATTTTATATTAATATGAAATTCTAGTTATTTGACAATAATCAAGCAAATATTATTTTATCGCTTCTCAAAACAAGCATCATTTTTTGACTTTATATCCTATCTATACACTAATTTTGATCACATTTTAATACAGAGTACTAATTTGTAAAATTAAATGTCATTCTTTTAATTTTCGTTGGATTGATTACTATGTATATTTTCTGAATATCAAAATTCAGTAATTTTTTAAGACAAAATTTATATTAATGGTCAAAGTTTTGAATTGAAAATTATTAAAGTCAAATTGATACAAGTAAAAAAAATAATAATTCCTTATATATTTAAAAGAATGTACTCCATATACCATATTAAGCCCACAAAGTGTATAACAATTAGAAATCGAGATATTTTTGTAAGCACGTAGGGTTTGGTCCTTAACGTTTAGTATGGTACGTACTATAGAAGAATTCAAGGGTAATAAAAACAGCGGGAAAAAAACTCAACCTTGGAAATTAATTTTTTTTTTTTCCTTTTAAAAGCAAAATTCATGTTTTTGCTCATATTATAAATTCATTTAATTTTTGTTTTATGTAGTTTTTCGATCAATCCTGATCTACAAAGGACCACATCATGGCGGGCTTAATATTACAGCATAGTCTTATCAAGACTCAACTAATTTTTTTGGGATGAAGCTCTTATTTTGTTTTGTGTTTTTTTTTCTTTTTCTTTTGGCTAAAAAAAGTTGGTTTTTTGAATAATTAACCTGTCGATTGCATGCATCAAAACGACAAATTTTATGGGAACTTCATGTCAATTTTGAGTGGAATTCATGGTATAGATAAATCCAAGTTCCATTATTTCTTTTTTTTTTTTTGGAAAGCTCCATTATTTCTGGTATTTATTTTACAAGTTTTATTATTTTAAGTTAAATCATAGGTTTGTCATTTTCTCTTTTCTATTTAGTATATGCATTTTAATTAGTTTATTGATTGCCAAGTGTTCCTGATTTTTTTTTTGATGTTTAGTCATTTTATTATAGTTTCTCTTTAAACTCTTTCTAATAGTTTGCCAGTGATAATTTATTTTTTCCATGGCATGCATTGGATTCTTATAACCAAAAAATTCTTTGACTTTTGTCTTTTTGTGGGTGTTACTAATCAAATGCTTTTACCATGTTAATTAGGATTTTCAATGTGGATATAACTAATTTAAATGATCCTATCATGATTTTCCTTTTTTTTTTTTTTTTTTTTTTGGAAAAAAATTATGAAACTTATATAATATACTCTAAAATAATTAAATTTTTACTTTTGTGTTTGACTTGTTTAAATAAGGATTGTTTTTTAAAAAAAAAATAGGAGCATATAGAGTATAACGAATCTCGATTGAATTAATGTAGATGTAATTTGATTTCATCTAGTGTAGCGGGGAAAGTTTATAGGGTAGATGAGATTTGGCACCTCCACAAACTGTTTTTATAAATGTAACATTATAATATTCTATCCTTTAAATGCTTCTTAAAATATATTATCATAATGATTAAAACATGTTATACTATACTTTAAAGTTCAAACATTCCCTTGTATAGTTGTGTTTACACTCCTTATGTACTGTTAAGTACTTTACATAATGATATGACTTTTATTGACAGGATATACTAACAGATTTATACTATAGGGTACCTCCGTTTCATATTATCTGCAATGATTTGATGTAAAGTGTGCGTAGAATATGTCTAATCGTTACAAATAATATGAAATGGAGGTAGTATATGTTCTAACTCAAGCTCTATCATCCTCAATATTTATTTAAGTTTAGAAGTAATATGTTAATTATAACTATTTAAAATTCAGCAAAAATAAATAAAGTTGTTAAACTAAAATGTAAAAAAGATAAGTTTAGATACAATATACTTCATATTAAGTTAAGCTAAGTTGCGTAAATAAAATACCAGTCATCATATCACTAATTCAAATTAGACTATTAATTTCGACAAACGGAGTATATTTTGCTTTGAGATTTATGATCTTACTTGGCCCTTTGTAATGATTATGTTGCAGTGAACTCAACCACATTAGTGGTTAGTACACATCATGTTGTCAACAAAAGTATAATTTTGTATAAAATCTTTGAAATTGGTCTTCGTGGCAAGATCTTGTGAACAAAAATCATCTCCTATTCCTCTCGTGGGTACTATACTTCTTGCAACGTCGCACTTAATTACTCAATCATGCAATATTGTTACTTAATTGATTTAATTGACCATTGATTCATGCGGATTTTACGCCAAGAACATTGTGATGTTCTCCGAATAATAATGTTGTGGAAAATGAGTCGTGATCTAGCTATATAATTATATGTATACTTTTATTTTGACCATAATTTTTGTTATTTTTTGAAGGTTGTTTACTCGTATTTTTTTAAGACTTAGAATCATAATATAATCGTGTTATTGATCGACAATCGTTTTGAACTTCTAACTAATTACTAGTTTTGAGTTGACATGTTTGAAGGTCTTACATTTTCTAATGTGAGGGGGAAGTATCAAATATCAATAGTATTTTGCATTAGTTTGAAACTTGAAAGCATTAATTTTATTGATATATATATATATATTTTTTAATGTAAATCACGTCTAACTAATTAATGATACACATGCTATAAACCTTAAATCTTTAGCATTTAGTCTATAGTCGGTCAATGTAAGCAACAATAATAGATCTAAACCGAGTATAAAGCATTATAGTGAAGACATCTTAATTATTGATGAATACATTTTCACTGGAAAAAAGCATTTTATATAATATAGGTGTTTCGTGGACCCTTAATTTCGGATACCAGTCAAAATGTTCTCTCTCTAAAATGTTGTTTGGTTTACAAAGTGTATGTATAAGGCATAATTTTAATATGATTTCTTGGATAAAATGCAAAGGCAAGTGAGAGCAATACGTAATTACTTACTCCGTAGTATTAATTTTTTTATGTTCCGATGTTATTTTCCTTAAACATATCAAGATGTTTAACATTAACACTACTTAATCAAATTGTTCCGTAGTAACTTATAGTACATATTTACTCCCAAAATGTGTTGTATCATGCATTCATGTATCATGGGCTCGCTAGATCCAGCCTATAGCTTAAAATACTAATTTTTTATCGTGTCGTGTTATGTCATAATAGTCTAAAGAGCAACCTCAAGCATAACTAATCCCACATGGCCAATTCACCACCATGCCATACTTTCCTCGTGAGGATCGTGTGTGGGTTGAATTCTGCTATGGACCTATGGACTATGGTACTTGTATAAAATTTTGTCATGGAAAACATATAAACTGCTATTTGTCCTCAACAGACAATTCATTCTAGTTGTTTTCCACCTGACCTTGGGCACTAATACAAAAGCCCATATTGATTTCTTCGCAGCCCAAAACACCCAAAAAGAAAAAAATAAAAATAAAAAATGGATAACCAACTCTGGATTACTGCCTTCTTTATTGATTTCTTGTAATTAGACAACTTAGCTCAGTTAGCTGTGCAATGACTTGAGGACTCGTGATTTCATGAGGAAAGAACATACATATATCAATGGATATCGAAAAATTTATGACTTAAGTATAAAATAATACCAGTAATCTGTAAGAAGATAAAAGCAAAACTATAAATTATTTTATGTATAACACCGATTGATGTCTTATTATGTTATAAATTTTAAAGTACACGTTTTTTGTGGTAATAACTTCAAAGTAAATTTTGATATGCTAAATTAGACGATTCAATAAAAAGCACAGTAGTAAAGACTTGAATTGCAAATTACAATGTTTCATCAACACGCAACATTTTCAGCATTCAAGCAGGAGTTGATAAAATCATGAAGAACTACAAGCAATTCTTCACACTTTTTTTGGTCCAAAATATCCACTCCATGATATTCTCCTTCAGTAAAATGCCCCTTCACATTAACTCCTATATCTTCCAACACCTTAACAAACTCCGATATACGGTCCACAAGGGGGTCACCACTACACTCCGTGACCAACACCCGCAAATCCATCTCCTTGATCCTTTCTATCCGACTCAATCCATCACCCGTTAACCCTGATAACGGGTCGCAAAATTCATGGTCACGACTCACCCCTTCGGGCAAAGACAGCTCCCAAAACAAATCGTTACCCGACAATGGCAAATACGGATCATTAATGAACCTCAACTCCGACCCGGTACGCTCGGACCCACCAAAATATGGATGATGCAAAATAACACCTTTAAATTTCAAGGGGTTGAGATCGTCAATGAGATAAGATGCCCTTAATGCTGTTTGATAAGCTATGTTCCCTCCAGCACTTGTTCCCATCAAAAAACAGTTGCTAATGTCTCCATACTTGGACAACCACTCATCCTACACACATAATAAATCATTCCGTATATTTTTAGACAACAAAAAAATTCAGGGGATTATCTAATTAAAACTAGTTTTTGGAATCGTAATTATAAAAAGTACGGAATATTCTATAATGTACTTCTATTTCTTTTATATCGTAATACATACAATAAGTTGACTCTTAGTGAGCTTATAATAAAGCCAATTTGTTTTCATGTATTAAAAATATAGATGAAGTAATTTACTTCGGTATTAAATTTATTTAAAAAATACTTTACCTCAATTTTTGATAAACTTTGCCCTTCGAGTATAACTAAGTTAACTATACGTCACATACTTAGTTTGATTGTCACATATACTCAGTATTTTAATCTGATGTCTATGTTGAGTATATTGCTGAGCCCAGCCCAAGTATTGCAAGCCCAGTTCAATAACCGAATTTTGTTGTAACAGAATTCCTCTTTTCCAGCTGTATTATTTTTATTCTGTTATTTCAGTTGTTGACTATATAAGTGAATAATAGCTGTAATAATAAATGTGTGTAATAAACTTTCAACTACTCTCTGTGTAATTCATTATTCTCTATTCAATAAAATTGCTTCTGCCTTTCTTTTCTTGAGTTCTTCTCTTCAATAACTGGATTTCAATGGCGTTTTTCCGAAGTTTTGACATGGTATCAGAGCTATGCATTTGTTTCCCGGAGTTGTGAATTTTTCGACCGAAAAATTCAGCTGGTTCGAATTATTTCTTCGTTTTCTTTTCCGAAGTTTTTTTTATAGTTTTCTAGAGATTTTTTGGGTTTGTTGCTTGAGTAATTGGTTGATCCAGTAGAAATTGATTGTTTTTGGAATTCTTTGGTATTTTTTTTTATTTCGTTTGCTGAATTGTTGTTATAGTTGGTTGAATCGTTTATTTGAGGATTTGTGGTGATTTGATTGTTGAAACTTTCTGGTGATTGTTTGATTTCTTAAATATCGTTTTTATTTGAATTTGTTGGTGGAATTGTGAAGTTTCTCGAGAGAAATTTTTTGGATTGATAAGAAATAGTTGATTGATTCTTCAAGAATTGTTTGAATTCATCATTTAATATTGATTAAAATGGTTGGAGATCAAACTGTGGAGTTAACTCAAGATCCTAATACTGTGTACTATATTCATCCTTCTGATAATAATAATCACAAGTTCATAACAGAAGTTTTTAAGTATGTTTGATAGTCGTAATATGATGCATTCTGAGGAAAATAGCATTACTATTCTTGATGGAAGAAAAGTCCTAATATCCCATATAGGTTCTATTTCTTTAGGACAAGGAATTGTGTTGAAAGATGTCCTATATGTTCCTGAGTTTCAATTCAACCTCATTTCTGTTCATAAGCTTTGCAAAGACCAGCCTTGTTGTGTCAAATTTTCTGCTGACTCTTGTATTATACAGAGTCCTTCCTTGTCCAAGGAACTTGTTCTTGGTAAGCAAAAATCTGGTTTATACCAAGCTGATGACAACCTTTTCCCAGGTTCTCTTGACAGTCTCTTTGCTAGCACCCTTGAAGACAGTGCAGCTCACCTAGCCTCTACCGTAAGTAGTGATAAAGTTTCCTTTGCTTGTAATGCAAATAATGATGCTAAAATTTGGCATTTAAGGTTAGGGCATGTACCTTTTAAACAACTTAGTTATGCTATTCCTGGAATAAGAGAAAAAGATTGGTGTGATGATATATGTCAAATTTGTCCACAAGCTAGACAATGTAGAAAATCTTTTCCTCACAATGAAATAAAAACCAAATTACCTTTTGAACTTGTGCATATTGATGTTTGGGGACCTTATAGACATAAAACTCATAATGGTTGTTCAATGTTTTTAACCATTGTTGATGATTTCACAAGACATACTTGGGTACACTTGTTGCATTTTAAGTCAGATTCTGTTAAAATCCTGATTGATTTTGTTACCTTCGTTGAGAATCAACATGGATATAAAGTGAAGTGTATTAGGTCTGATAATGCTAAAGAGTTGAGTGAAGGGAAGATTGCTGAGTTTTATGCTGCAAAAGGAATATTGCATCAGACTAATTGTAGTGATACCCCTCAACAAAATGGGATTGTTGAGAGAAAGCACAAACATTTGTTAGAGACAGCCAAGGCGCTATACTTTCAATCTAAAGTACTACCTAGATACCGGGGAGAGTGTGTGTTATCTGCAGCCCATATTATCAATAGAATGCCTTTATCTGTTCTAAATAACCTTTCTCCTTGCAAGAAATTACATAATACCAAATCTGATTTGTCTCGTCTTAGAACTTTTGGCTGTCTTTGTTATTTTCAACCACAAAAATAGGGAGAACTAAGTTTGATCCCAGAGCAGATGCCTATGTCTTTATTGGGTACTCACCTACATAAAAAGGCTATAGAGTTCTTCATTTGACAGACAATCATATCACAGTCAGTAGGGATGTTCAATTCTATGAATAGCACTTTCCCTTTCATGTTCAGTGTTCCAAAAATAACAATCCTTTCCAATTTTTTGTTCCAAATGAAAATCAGAGTCATATTTTCTCAGATCCTTTTGTAGATTATAATGAAGGATATCCTATTCTTCCCTCATAGCAGAATACAAATTCTGTTCCTAATCCTGTTCCTAATCTTGTTCCTACTCTTGTTTCTTCTTCTTCATCATCTTCTTTTCCTCCTTCTTCCACTACTATTTCTTCTCCAACTTCAACTTCATCTTCTTTTCCTTATCCTATCATCTCAGTTTCAGAAGTTGTTGATATCCTATATACAGTTCAGGTTGACAGACAACCTGATACAAGAACATCTTCTAGGCATAGAGAACCTCCAAAATGGATGAAAGATTATGTAACAAAGCTTCCTGCTAAATCTTCCAAACATTGGTGTAACTTGGTCTTTTACTCTGATGGTACTATAGAAAGATACAAGGCTAGGTTGGTAGCCAAAGGTTATACTCAGAAATATGGAGTGGACTATGAGGAAACCTTTTCTCCCGTAGTCAAGATGTCCATTGTCAGATGTATTATTGCTGTTGCAGCCAGTAAAGGTTGGGATATGCATCAGTTGGATGTAAACAATGCCTTTCTCAGCTCCATGGGGATCTTAATGAAGAAATATACATGTCCTTGCCTGAGGGTATGATAGCTTTTCCTGGTAAAGTGTGCAGACTTAAGAAGTCTATCTAAGGACTAAAGCAGGCTTAAAGACAATGGTTTGCTCCGTTGGTTACATATTTGAACAAACAGGGATTCAGTTAATGTCACAGTGATGCTTCTCTCTTTCTCAAGAAGGTTAATGGAAAAATCACTATTGCAGCCATTTATGTTGATGATATCATACTAACTGGTGATGATATTGATACTATTCAAGCTTTAGTTAGCAGGAAGCTTTGATATTTTATGCACCAGTTTGAACCGGTGCGAATTAAATAAGAGAAAAAAAAAAAAGGCACCGGTTAACCGATTCCCCTTAAATTACCTAAACCCTTTATACTCATCAGCCCATCTCTCTCTCATCCGCCTCTCTATTTCTTCTCTCCTTCTCTCTAATCTCTCGTTTATTTCTCCATCTCTTTCATCTCTCGTTCTTTTTTCCTCTCTCTAAGCTTTCGTTCTTCTCTCCTTCTCTCTAAGCTTTTATTCTTCTCGTTGTTCTCTTATCTTCTTCTTCCTCATTTTAGATTCCATAGTTGAATTTTCGAAACCAAGCACAACAATTTTCGCTGCCGCTGTCGATTATTCGAACATGCAAGCATCAACCGTCAAATTTGAGGTTAGGGTTTTTGGGTTCTTTAGGTTTTCGTTTTGGTTCAATTGATGTCATTTGTTGAATTTTTTGGGTATAATTGATGTAATTTGTACGAAATTTTTGGTTTTTGGATTTTGGGTTTAGTTGAAGAAATTTTTGGGTTTTGGGATCTGGATTCTGAGTTTTTATGTTTAGTTGAAGAAATTTCTGGGTTCTATGTTTTTCTGATTTCTTTTGGGTTTTTCTGGGTTCCAAATTTTTGGGTTTTTAGTTTTTTCTCGGTTCTAAATTTTTCTAGGTTTTTCTAAGTTCAAAATTTTTGAATTTTTCTTTGTTCGAAATTTTTGGGTTTTGGATTCTGAATTCGAAATTTTTGGGTTTTTTTGGGTTTCTCTAGGTTTAAACTTTCTGGATTTTTTCGAATTCGAAATTTTTGGGTTGTTAAATTTCTGGGTTCTAAATTTTTCTGGGTTTTTCTAAGTTTAAAATTTCTGAATTTTTCTTTGTTCGAAATTTTTGGGTTCTGGATTCTGAGTTCAAAATTTCTAAGTTTTTCTTAATTCGAAATTTTTGGGTTTTTTTGGGTTTTTCCGGATTCAAACTTTCTGGATTTTTTCGATTTTGAAATTTCTGATATTTGATTTTTCTTTGTTCTGTGGATTATAATTACTAGATCTTCTGGGTTTTATTAATTTTGGTGTTTTAATTGGTGCAGGTAGTATATGATGATAATTTCATTAGATGCGAGTATGGTGATAATTTTTGCTAAAAACACGACTGCACATAAAAAAGGATTGAAGATGCATTTGGTGTTTCGTTGTTCATTGTTGCAGTTTATTATTATTATTATATTGTAAAATAACAATTTATTTGGATGAATGTATATTACGATTCTGGTGTTTTGTTGTTAATTATGTGTTGATTTGTAAGTGGAAAATTGCAAATTTTTGTTTTTATTTTTGTAAGGCATAATTTTTTTTATTGTTCGTTGTATCTTAATTCATAATTTATTTATTTTTTGGGCATTTTTGGCACCGGTGCCAATTTTTTTTTTTTGGAACTTTTCGCACCGGTTTTGAATTGAATCGATGCGAAAAGTTTTTCTTTTTAGCATCCCTCAATTCTACACCGGTTCAAAACTGGTGCGAAAGGGTGGTTTTGAACCGGTGCGGATTTACATTTTTCACTTAGTGAGCCCAGCTTGAGGGGGGCTGTTGAGTATACTGTTGAGCCCAGTTCAATAACCGAATTCTGTTGTAACATAATTCCTCTTCTATAGCTGTATTATTTTTATTCTGTAATTTTAGTTGTTGACTATATGATTCAATAATAGCTGTAATAATAAGTGTGTGTAATAAACTCTCAACTACTCTCTCTGTAATTTATTATTCTCTATTCAATTAAATTGCTTCTGCCTTTCTTTTCTTGGGTTCTTCTCTTCGATTACTGGATTTCAATGGCGTTTTTCCGAATTTTTGACAGCCTATTATATATAATATGAAGTACGAAGTATATTTTATCATTCTATATTACAGTAATTCGGGTTTTTGAGCACCCAAATTTCACCTTTGTATATTTCAAAAAATTTACTCGATCCGCATAAAAAAGTTATAAAAAATTACTTTGATAAATTGTTATTAATCATTAAGAAACATTTGTATGATACAACACTTGCTATATTTGACTTTTCAAAGTCAAAGTTCATCAATTTTGACTACATTTTTACTATGATATACGGAGTAGTTAAACAAATTATACCATCATTTGAAGTATTGTTAGATTATTATTATTCAAATTGTAGCAAAATATCAACCATGTAATATTCCTAACACCAAAGAATTAATATGAAAACTTTTTATATGACTTAACCAATACGGAGTATTTCTCAAGTCAAATAACTACCAATGAAAAAGACTAAAGACTAGACTAAAAGTGTGGAAGAACTTACAGTTGGATCAGAAGTGCTATGCTCCTTGTTAACCACCGAAGCACGAACCCACTTCACAGCATCCATAGCATCATCATAAGCAGCTGGAAGGCGGTGCTCAGGTGCCAACCGATACTCGACAGACACAACAATCACCGACGCATGTGATGCAAGTGCACAACAGATATCATGATTATAGAAAGAATCAACATGTAAAAGAACGAAACCACCCCCGTGGTAGTACACCACGATAGGGAGTTTCTTGGAAGGATCCGATAGTGCAATTTTCGGGAGGAAAACTCGAACGTAAGTATTGTAAGTCGAGTTTAGTGTAAAATCTTTGGTAAGAACAGAGGAAGAAGAGTTAGGATCTGGTGTGGCAGGTGTAGATGGAACATCAAGGTACCTAGTAAGTGTACCATCTGGGTTAAGTTTGGATTGGAGGTATTCGTATGGATCAACGGTGCAGATTGGAGTTGACTTTTGTTCTTCATTAGCCATGGTTGGATCTGAGTCGTTGATTGGTTTTTTTTTTTTGGCTAGTTTTGTAAGAAGAAGAATATGTGGTTTAATTTGGAAGACTATAATGTGGTATAGCGTTTGATGTGTATTGTGTATTTTGTATTGCATGTAATTTTGCCACCAAATAAGGAATATTATTATTGCATAAACTTCAACTTGTTATTTGTTTAAAAGTCCAAAGTTTCATTAATTGATTATGTGCAGTCCAAATTAATTACGAGTAAGTAGTAGATGTTTCTATTTTTTTTTTTCAATACAAACAAATATGACTAGCAAATTTAGATACTCGTATTAATTAATCGGTAAGCCTTACATTCAAATGGCTTGTCAATTAAAGTGATGATACTAGTTAATTTCATTCGCACTATCATGATTATCGATCTCTTGTGCCTATACTATGCTGAGATGATTTTTTTAAGAAAAAAACATTTTTAAAGTACTGGTAATGAAAATCTTATGGTCCTCTCTCATCCACAAATTTTGTCCTCATAAGCTGAGAAACACATATTAACTTATACTTCTTCCGTTTCACGGATTATAGTTGCAATAATTTACTGAAATGGAAATGTCACAATAGTTACAACACTACAAAAGGAAGGTTTTTATGGTGAAAATTGTACTATTACCTTTATTTAAAACACATGACCCACTTGATTATACTCCTAACTCTTAACCCATTTTAAGTACATTATATCATGTGAGGTCCACTTTTCTTAAATACATAAAGTGTGTGTTGCAACTATAAAGAAACGGAGGAAGTATATTAGGAATATATAATATGTTAGATATTTACGAATACAATTTAAAAACTAGATCTTAACCCCCTTTTTTACTTTTGTATTTTACTCACTCCGTCTTACAATGATGTTCTTATTTAAAATCTTTATGTGAGACAAATTTGGTCAAAATATGAACATCATTGTAAAACGGAGAGAGTAATATATCTTTTTTTCCTTTTATTTTTTTTGGACCAATACCCATGCGACAGTCCTCATTAAGTGGTGGTGAAAGCTTTTTTTTCTTTTTTTTTTCTTTTTTTTTTTTGTGGTGGTAAAAAACAACTTTTAAAAGATTTGGTGTTAAAAACAAAACTCGTGTTTTTGCACGTGTGCATTTTACTTGCAAATTATTAATTATACTTGTAGTAGTAAACTCTTAAGTCTTCCGGATGATTTCAATGATGACAGTATTTTCCACATTCTTTCCTCTTTGGATAATCCTGGTTATGTTGTTGTTTGTTCCTCAGAATCCTCGTATGCATGAGTTTGTTTCTCGAAATGGTTCAAGTTCATCCCTTCGGCTTTCTTCCTCAAATTTGCAGCAGGTTAAGCAAGGCAATGTCATTCATTTCTACCATTGTAAGTCCATGTCATTAATGTCTATTCGAGTTCGTCCGAGTAAAACTTCTATCCAGACAGAGTTCCCCCAAGATTACTTCTAGGGAAGCAGAGACCTCTATTTCTACATCAGTTAAGTTTCATGGTGGATTGGAGCAATAGGCAGTGTCCACTTCAGAGTTCTTGTCAGCTTCCATTTTGCAATCCACGTATGCTCCGATTTTGCAATCGTATCAGAAGAAGGTTATCCCCTCTGTTACGATAGAGGTCTCTCACAATGTGAAATCCAGTGTAGCAATGTCCTCTACCTTTACTTCACTACGAGTATCCTGTGATGAGGAGTGGTAGACGGTGCCCATAATAGTGTCTCAGCCGGTTCCCATTTTGCAGCAGTCCTTAGGTGCTCCAGTGGCGCACAATAGTTCGGAGTGCATGAATGCCCTTTTTTGAAGTTGATAGTCATATGGAAGGGATGAATTCACAGGAGTTTGTGGGAAAAGTTTATGATTTAAGTTTTCATTTCGCCACTTTGCATTCCAATGCCGAGTCTTCGGGTCAACCATTTCGCCGTCACAGATCTATTTTTCATCCTCGATTTAGGAAGATGAGTTCTTTGGTGGACCAACCTAGATCAACTGCAGATTGCCACGTGGTTTGTGTGGGTACAAAGCGTGATCGTGGGCCTAGTGTGGATTTCAAGTACTCCAACTTGGCTCGAATAAAGTTTGCTCGTAAGTGTCTCTTTAGCGTTTTTGTGTTTGTTTTATGTATTTCTTTATTAGTACTCTTTGTCAAAAAAAAAAAAAAAAAAAAAAAAAAAAAAAAAAGAGCTCTTCAGTCTTAATTAAAATAATATGTAAAAGTGAAGAATATAAGTAGAAAACCATGGTTGATTTCTAGATCGATACACATGGGATATCTACACACTTGCATGCACGTTGACCTTTAAAATAAAAAAATATAAGGAAAAAAAGAGAAAAAACTATCCTAGATTGGATCTAGAATTTTAGTACGGAGTAGGTTTTCATATTAGAAATTCATTAAGTTTATTTCAAAAAAAAAAAAAAAAAAAAATCATTAAGTGTGTTCTTATTTTTATGACAATAGAATTCTAAGATTAATACAAGTACATTATTAATTAGGATTGTTTGTTAAAAAAAATTAAAAAAATCTGTAGTTAATTCTGATAAGAAAGGCCCAAGGAATATGGGCTCAAGTTTTGAGTCTACATTATTGGGCAATATATCATTATATTGATATGCAACAAGAAGATAACATACGCAATTAAGGATGAATACATAATTAATGCAAGCTTGAGTATACAAGCATTAAAAACATTCACGAAGTTATGTAAGGTGAAAAACCATTGCGGACAAATTGGTAAAGCTCTTGAGCTTTAGTACTATTGCCAATAAAAACACCATGGTAAAATCCTTTACCAAAATTACTAATGACATTCACACCTCGTTTCTCAAGAAATTTGAACACTTCCACTTGCCTGTCGAAAATAAAATCCCCATCACAACCTGCTATTGCAACCCGCCAACCCAAACCTCTAATATTGTCCAAATTTCTGGATCCGCCACCGAAGATCGGGTTAAAATATGGATTGTTCAAGTTAGCTCGAAGGGGCAGAGACAAATGCCACAAAAAATCAACCATTTTTTGTAAATTACCGTACTTGACACGATTCGGATTTGATCCTCCAAAGAACGGTTGGATTAGTACCAAACCTCGGATAACCAAGGGTTGAAGCTCACGGGTTAGAACAGACGCTCGTAATCCTACGTTGTAAGCAATGTTGCCCCCTACACTCTCCCCCATTAAAATGCACCTTGAAGCATCCCCATAATTACTCACCCACTCATCTTTGTTTTCTTTTACCCAATACAAGGCATCCAAAACGTCGTCGTAGGCAGCAGGAAGGCGATGCTCGGGAGCAAGCCGGTACTCAACGGAGACAACTAACACGTTAAGGTTATTCGCCGTGTTGGAAAGAAATGAGTCGACGCTAGGGGTGGCAGTGCTAAGGATAATGAACCCACCACCATGGGCGAAAACAATGATTGGAAGGTTAAAGTGTTCTTTTTTGTTGGGTAAGGAGAGCCGAATCCACGTTTTTTTAACAATGTTCAGAGGGACATCTCTAGAGAAGGCAATAGTAGAGGAAGTGTTGGGTGGAACGGTCGGGTAAAACTCCTTAATTCGAGTGATTGAGCCATCCGGATTCGGAATAATGTGGAAAAATGAGTAAGGATCAATTAGAGGAGGTTGAGCATTGGATAAAGAAATTTGGATTGATACAAAACTTGTAAATAGGAACAAGAATACTAGTAGTTTGGTTAGTTTTTTTCATTTTTTTTTAGTTTAGTATAAATTTTATGTTTGAATCTAAGGTAATTAAGTAAAGAAAGTTGAGAAATAAGTTAGTTACATTTCATTATTGCTCAACTGTGAAAGAGAATCAATCATTGAAAATGATGACATATGAGTTTGAAAAAAATACCATATAGCCATACTTGTTGACAGTAATGGGTCCATTTTGTTTGTTAAAGTTGCTTGTCATATTGTTAGGACTTGCGCCATTAATCACGGATTACATTAAAGTAGAATAGAGGATAAATATAATTTGTGTACCATTATTCGGAGTATAATGGACTCGGCGGTGATGAACAATGTATTGGAAATAAGAGAGTGCCTTTAAATAGGCTACTCTATATATACAAAGTATTGACTAGGTCTTAATTGGTTAAGTCCCGACATAGTGGTAAATACTAAGGGCTTATATATAATTGGTCACATATTCAAATCCTTTATCTTTATTTGTAATTTATAATGTTGTGGCTCATTCGAATAAATAAGATTGCATGCTATAAAGTGTTGTAAGTTGAGTAAGTGAAGATACTAAGGTAAGAACAGAAGAGGAATTTGGGTGACTAGATGAAACCTCCGTATTTAGTAGGTGTACCATCTAGGTTTTGCTTGAATTAAATTTTTAAATGTATTAGTAAGGATCAACGGTGCATATTGTTAGTTACTTAGATTTTTCTCTGATATGAACTTATACGGCCTTATGAAGCTTCATCTAGCCCATTTTGATACCCAAAAAAGAGGAACTAGTGATTTGAAGCTTTAAATAATCTATCCTAAAGCCTTACTCCAATAATTGCACTATTACCTTACATGGAATGTTTATTATGACTAATAAAACTATGAGCGATTCAAATCATATAAGCGAGATATATATTTTTTTAAAGGGTCATACAAGTTGTGAGTAATTAATACTTAGGTAATTGAATATGTTTTCTGTTATGAGTATCCTAGATCAAATAATTGAAAACAAATGCCCAAGTAATATGAATAATTCAGCAACTTTGCATAGACTAGTAGATTATTAGCCAGAAACCACACTAATGGACTCTATATGATTTGAAATATATATATGTGAGTCAAGACTTACTATAATAAGATAACATGCACAATTAAGAATGCATTTTCACATCAAGAAGTTACATAAGGTGAAAATACATTCCTTACAAATTGATAAAGCATTTGAGCTTTAGTAGCATCACCAATAAAAACACCATGGTAAAACCCTCTACTAAAATTACCAACAACATTCACCCCTCGTCTCTGAAGAAATTTAAACGCCTCCAATTGCCTGTAAAAAATGAAGTCCCCATCACAACCCGCAATTGCAATCCTCCAACCCAAACCTTTGATTCTATCCAAATTACACGATCCGCCACCGTACATAGGGTTAAAGTAAGGGTTGTTCCAATTAGCTCCAAGGGGTAGAGACATATGCCACAATAAATCATCCACTGCTTGAAAATTACCATCCTTATTACGACTTGATCCTCCAAAAAACGGTTGTATTAGAACCGAACCTCGGATAACCAACGGCCTTAGCTCGTTGGTTAGAACAGACGCTCGTAATCCTACGTTGTATACAATGTTGCCCCCTGCACTCTCGCCCATCAAAATGCACCTAGAAGCATCTCCATATTTTCTCACCCACTCGTCATTTTTTTCCTTCACCCAATACAAGGCATCCAAAACGTCGTCGTAGGCAGCAGGAAGGCGGTGCTCGGGGGCTAGCCGGTACTCAACCGAGACAACTAACACGTTAAGATTATTCGCTGTGTTTGAGAGAAATGAATCAAATTGAGGGGTGGCCGTGCTCAATAGAATGAACTGACCACCATGAGCGAAAACAACTATTGGAAGGTTATAGTTATCGGACTTGTTGGGTAAGTAGAGTCGAACCCACGTCTTTTTAACGGGGTTCAGAGGGACATCTCTAGAGAAAGCAATGTTAGAGGATGTGTTGGGTGGAACGGTCGGGTAATACTCTTTGATTCGAGTGATTGAGCCATCCGGGTTCGGAATTATGTGGAAAAATGCGTAAGGATCAATTAAGGGAGGTTGAGCATTGGATAAAGTAATTTGGATTGATACCAAACTTGTAATTAGGAACAAGAATACTAGTAGTTTTGTTGAGTTTTTCATTTTTTGTAGCTTAGCTTAGTACAAGTAGAGTATAATTTTTGTGTTTTGAATCTAAGCTAATAATAAGTAAAGAAAATTGAGAAAAGTTGGTTGCATTTCATTAATGCTCAAATGTGAGAGAATCAATTCAATTATCGAAAATGATGGGACATAAGTTTGAAAAATTCATCTTTGATGGCAGTATTGGGTCCATTGTGTTTGTTAAAGTTGTTTGTCACTTTTTGTGCTACACTTTAGAATTAAAATAGAATATATAGATAATTTTTGTACCGTTATTAAATGGGACTTCACTTAAATTAATGAGGAGCAAAAGGTACAGATATTCAATAACGAAGGTAAGAAAATACACTTCTCACAAATTCAAACAGCTTTTGAGATTTAGCGAGTTCAGTAACAAAAACACCATGGTAATCGCCTTTACTAAAATTACCAACGACATCTACGCCTCGTTTTTTTAAAAACATAAACACCTCTACTTGTTTGTCATAAAGTCGATCTCCATCACAACCCGCTATTGCAATCCGCCAACTCAACTCTTTAATTTTATCTAAATTACTTGACCCACATCCGAACATCGGGTCACAATATGGGTGGTTCCTAGTAACTCCAAGTGGTAGAGACAAATTCCACATAAGATCCGTTATCACCAAGGGTAAGCCAGCCGAATGGGGTAGTTTCAACTCAGATCCGGTACGATTTAACCCGCCAAAAAATGGTTGGATCAAAACCAAACCTTTAATAACCAACGGCTTAAGCTGATGGTTTAAAATAGACGCTCCTAATCCTACGTTGTAGGCAATGTTACCCCCTGCACTCTCCCCCATCAAAATACACCTTGTAACATCCGCATATTTGTTCACCCACACATCTTTTTTTTCTTTTACCCAATGCAAGGCCTCCAAAACGTCGTCGTAAGCCGCAGGGAGGCGGTGTTCGGGTGCGAGTCGGTACTCAACCGAGACAACCAACACGGTGAGGTTACTCGCCGTGTTGGAGAGAAACCAGTCGAAGTTAGGGGTGGCAGTGCTAAGAATAATAAACCCGCCACCGTGTGCATAGACTATGATCGGGAGGTTTACGAGGTCGGACTTGTTGGGTAAGTAGAGTCGAATCCACGTGTTTTTATCGTGGTTGAGAGGGACATCCCTAGAGAATGCAACAGAAGAAGTGTTGGGTGGTACGGTAGGATAGAATTCCTTAATTCGAGTGATCGAACCGTCAGGATTTGGAATAAGGTGGAGTAATTTGTAAGGATCAATGGTGGAATTTTGTGCTTGATTATGGATTGGTAGGATTGCTAATATTGTAAATAGGAGGAAGAATACAGGTAATTTTGTAGCATCCATTGTGATTTTGATTATGGTTGAAGGTAAGTAAAATAGTTGATTTAATAGCGAAATGTATGGTTTGGATAAGGTATAGCCAAAAAAAAGACTGTACTCTTATTGTCGTTGGTGTAATTACAGCTGTCCCAATTACTCGAAATTTTATTGGAAATATGTCATAATATTTTATTTAAGAGCCATTTGTTTAGAGTGATAAGAGATGGGATCAAGAGATAATTTCATAGCATTTTTCATTGTTTGCTTAGAAGGATTTGGATGTAATTATTCCACTTCTACGGAGTAATATTTCTATGCTACATTTTGTGTGTCACTTCATTTGATACACCTTGCATATATATAAGGATTGTTTGTGCTTTTTATTCAAAAAGTATGTAACAGTTAAAGTATATGTATTTAACCATTAAAAAAATAGAGGGAGTATGAGAGGAAGAAAAGGTACACAGTCACAATTGAACCTAATTTTATATACTTCATGGTTGAGTCCTAGCTTGTTGCATTTATATTGTACTTCACTGCTATTGTTCAAAATTTTGAATTTTCATAATAAACAAAATTAAGTATTAAACCATAAAATAGAAAGTAAATGAGTATTTTGTATATATTTCTTATAAATAAAAATTAAAAATAAAACTTATTGAATGATACTCGTAGCATACATTTGAAAAATGATCGCGACAAATATGACAAGTATGATACCCTTTAAAAATCATCTCTTGATGCTATAATCTATAAGTATGAAACCTATGGCCACACTGTCTCAAAATTTACCATATCACTGGTCTAAACTCTTTAATTTACTTGTAGAATGAAAAAATTAATTAAAATCCATTATTAAGAAATTAATTAAAATCCATCATTATGAAATTGATTATTTTCTTTTTGGGTGCTAGAATGAAAAAATTAATTAAAATCCATCATTATGAAATTGATTTATTTTCTTTTTGGGTGCTAGAATGAAGAACATTACATATTTCCTAGAGATTCCTCCAACACACCAAATAACATCTTACGCTTGCTAGAATCAGATGCAAAAACACCATGATGACCACCTTCACTAAACATGGATTTCACAATTACTCCCTTTTCCTCCAACATTTTCACTAACCCTACTTGTCGATCAAGAAGCGGGTCACCATCACAACCCACTACCATGACCCGCCAACCCAGATCTCTAACTTGACCTAATTTCTCGGATCCTCCATGGGTTATCGGATTACAAAACTCATGCCCACGGTCAGCCCCAACGGGCAAAGCAAGGCTCCACACTAAATCATTGCCCACGAGGGGCAAATACGGGTCATTAACTAATCGAAGCTCGGACCCAGTTCTATTGAGCCCGCCAAAGAACGGTTGGATCAAGACCAAATCTGTTATAGTCAACGGCCTCAAATCGTTGACCTGATCTAAAGCCTTCAAAGCAGCATAGTACACAATGTTAGCCCCTGCACTCTGCCCCATCATAACACACCTTGAAAAATTACCATACTTTTTTACCCATTCATCTTTACCATCTTTCACCCAGAGTAAAGCTTCCAAAACGTCGTCGTATCCTGCTGGGAGACGCGACTCAGGAGCGAGTCGATACTCGACCGCGACGACCAGAACACCGAGTTGACTCGCTAACTCGGAGCAAAAATTGTGAAAAACAGGGGAGGCTGCACTGTAGAGGATGAACCCCCCACCATGAACAAACACCACAATAGGTAACTTATTAGCGATCGGGTTCGAGCTGTCGATAGCGGTTCGAGGAAGGAAGATTCGAACCCAAGTTTTATTACTTGGGTTCAAAGGAACATCTTTGGAGAGTGCAGGAGATGTGTCAATGGAGGGTGAAATGGCCGGAAAAAATTCCTGGAGACGTGTGATTGAACCATCTGGATTTGGGATTATATGAAGTTGTTGATAAGGATCAATAATTTGATCATATTTTGACATTTTGTTGTTGAATTTTTGACGTTGATTGCGATAATAATGAATTATAAACAGAGAAATGAGGAGTAAAATGGCATATATTAGTTTTGATTTTGTTTTGAATTGTCTCATATTATATGGTTTTGGCAATATGGTCATATATTGATTTTTTTTTACCAAATACCAAGATAGGTGGTATAACATGAACGTGAAAGAATAGTTGACTACGATCAAGTTCACAAGTTGACATTATTCTAATGAGTGGTTAGTAATTAATTTAGCAACCAAAATAAGCTTGTATCTATTGGACTATATGTTCTTTCTATTCATTGAGAAGTCAACTAATGCACAATCCATATTAAACTAAATTAGTTTAAGCAAAGTATTACATTTTTCGTGTTTTAAAATCTAATTAAGCATAATATATAGCTTTCAATATTAGGTGCGGGTGAAAATTAGTTTAACTTATGGAGGAATATAAGGGGATTATTAGCCTAAATAAGTTTTATTCCAAAACCATTGACAATGAAAGAAGAAACTCACTCAACTAACGGTGATTATTTTTCATTTCTTCCAAGTACTTTAAAATAATTATTTCTATGATTTAGGACACTTAGCATGTTACATATAGTTTATTATTGGATAAAATGTACAATAACAGTATGAAGAATTGAGCTAAGAAATTATCATTGATCACTAAAAGGAAAATAAATTGTTTACAAATTCAAACAATTCTTTTGTCCTAGGAGGATCGGATAAAAACATACCATGATGACCACCTTTATCAAACAAAGACCTTACATTCACTCCTTTACTCTCCAACAATTTAACCAACTTAACATTCCGATCAAAAAGCGGGTCACCGTCACAACCCGTCACCCCAATTTTCCAACCCAAATCCCGAACCCAATCCCATAACTTCAACCCATCACCTACAAACGGGTCACAATACTCGTGACTCCGGTTCGACCCGATGGGCAAAGATAGGTCCCACAACAAATCATTAACAACTAAAGACAAGGCTTCATCATTAACCAACCTAATCTCGGATTTAGTACGCTCAACACCACCAAAATACGGTTGGATTAAAATCAATCCCTTAATAATCAACGGCTTAAAATCATCGATCTGATTAGCTACCTTTAATCCAACATGATAGAGTATATTACCCCCTGCACTCTCACCCATCATAACACATCTCGTTAAATCCCCGTAATTTTTTATCCACTCATCTTTACCTTCTTTAACCCAAGTCAAAGTCTCCAAAACGTCGTCGTATTGAGCAGGGTGCGAGTCTGTACTCGACTGAAACGACTAACGCGCCGAGTTGACTCGCTGATTCAGAACAGAACTCGTGAACAATAGGGGTGGCTACACTGCAGAGGACGAATCCACCTCCATGAACAAAAACTAGTATTGGGAGTTTCTTTGGGATTTTTTCGTGAGTCGAAACGTTTTTTGGAAGGAAGATTCGAACCGAGGTGTTGTGATCTGAGTTTAGAACGACGCCTTTGGAGAGAGAAGGAGCGGAGGTGTCAGTAGTGGAAGGAGGGACGGTGGTGTAGAACTCGGGGAGGCGTGTGAGTGTGCCGACGGAGTTTTGGATGATGTGGAGGCGTTTATAAGGATCTATTGGGTTTGAATCTGATAGATGTGACATTATTTTTTTGGAACAGAAATAATTGTTGGACGGAGAGGTAGATAAGTACGAGGAATATTAAGACTGTGGTTGCAGTGGCGGTGGAAACAGTGGTGGTGAGACATCCTTTGTATAGAGATCTAAAATCAAAGTATGGAGTACTAAATAATATAAATGTCATTTGAGAACTTTTTTTTTTTTTTTTTTTTTTTTAAAGAATGTCATTTGAGAACTTAAAAGACCAAATCACCCTCTAAGTTTGACCTTAATCTACTTCTTCCTATCTTCCCATGATCCCATCTTCTTCCTAAAACAAGGGTAGTACAATACGATATATTTGGTGTTAGGCAATTTGATTTAATCATTTAATTGGAAACTTGATGCCATTGGGAAGCTTAAACAGGCTTCAGAAATGGATGATGATTATAGAGTTAATCATTAAAAAAAAAAAAAAAAAAAAGCCAAGTTGCTAAGTGAGTACGTGTTATTTTAATATATTTTTACTATCTCCATTGTATATTACTTGCAACAAAGGAATATTTTATATCTCACAAATAATACCTTTTTGTTGCGAGTAATATGAAACGGAGGTAGCATTAATTACGTGTTTGATATAAATCATGAAATAGTATGAAGCTTTTGACTTAGATGAAAAATAATACAAGTAATTGTTACTCTACAAAATGCATATATGAGGTTTGTAAAATTGTACAATAAAAAATGATAAATGACTTAGAATTTCAATTACAATAGAAATTACATCAGTCTTTGTTGTTTTCATTCAAATGATACTTATTTTGGACAAATAAATCACTAAAAATTAGAGAGAAAAAAGCCTTTAACAAAATCCAGCAATTCATCTGCCTTATACTTAGATGGACTACCCACAAACATCCCATGCTCACCACCTTCACGAAAATTAGACTTAACATCCAACCCTCTCTTCTCCATCAATTTCACCAACTCTACACTCCGATCAAAAAGTGGGTCACCATCACAACTCACCACCCAAATCCGCCACCCTAACTCTCGAACCCGATCCAATAAACTCGAACCAGCATCTTTAACCGGGTCACTATACTCATGACTCCGGTCAACCCCAATCGGCAAAGAGGCTTCTCAACACAAGTTGTTACTGTAATACCCCAAATTTGACCAACCAAGTGGCAGCTGTGCGGAGGCCCCTAGCTGAAGTAATGCCAAACACGATGCATCGTTGGTGCATATGGCATATCATGAGCAAGATTCCTGAGAAACTTGGCAAGTGTGCACGGTAAGTGGCTTATGCAATTATAACTTCAATGGTGATATTCCTCTTGCCTTATAAATTTGCTATGTTCTTGCCTTGCTTATTTGCTATATTTGCTGTATATATGATTTTTTTTTTTATTAATCATGTAATATGCATCCCTGTCAATTCAAATTTCTGATTGTGTGTTGTTGGTAAGTAGATAATTTTGTAGCAGAATAGTTTCTATGTTGAATACAGATAATAATTGCAATGCTTGAGTGCATCTTATTCTGTTGGAGGTCTTGCCCTGCTTGCTATGTTCCTGCCCTGCTTTAATGTTGTTACTTATTTTGTTATCAGACTAATGTGTGTTTTTCAGTGTTAGATAGTTCTTAATGCTACCGGTTGTTCTGCTATCATTCATTTTAATGTTGTTACATTTATTTTGTCCGTTGGAGTCCAAGCTTAGGCACAATATTGAGTTATGACTTCAGATATTAGGGGAGACAATGTTGTGCATGTCTAGATTGTCAAATTTTGCTTTATTCCTTCAGAATTGTTCACTAAGGACTGGACTTTTGAGGAAATCTTGTCTCAAGGCAAGGATTAATTATTTTGTTATGCTTGTATTGAGTTTAGGAGTTTGGGAATCCATGACAATTACAAGTTACAATATACGGAGTACTTTCAAATTGCAAGAAGTTACTGATGCCTTATTGATCCAGGCAGAGTAATAATAATTACTGATTTTGCTAACTTTTTCCTTAACTGGTTATATGTAATTTGTAGATGTTGAACTCTAATCTAACCTGTTAATCTTCTGTCATAAACATGTTGCTCAATTTTGTCTAGTTACCAAGAGTTCATCAACCCCCTGAAAGAGGTGGTGTATGAGAGCTTTGACCCTGAGGAGTTCCATACCCGATGGGCATAGTTTATAGCTGAGTATAAGTTGGAGGACAATGAATGGCTACAGAGCCTACAAAAAGAGAGTCATATGTGGGTGCCTGCGTACATGAAGGAGTTTTTTTGGGCTGGTATGAAGACCACACAAAGGGTGGAGAGCATCAATCGGTTTTTTGATGGCTATGTTAACTGCAAAACCAAACTACATGAGTTTCCTCAAAAGTATTGCATGGCCTTGGATCAACGCGTTCGAGATAAAGTGAGTGCAGATGAGCGTTGCTCGAAGTACCTTAGGAGGTTGGTAAGTGGCTTCAAAGTTGAAAAAATATTCCAAAAGTTATACACGGACAACAAGTTTGAAGAAGTTCAAACGGAATGGTCGAGAATGATGTATTGCAACGTCCGAGGAGAGAAGGTTTTGTCTGAAAACCTTATTCAGTATTCGGTGATCGATCGTGTATGGATAGTACCTCCCGGTGCTAGTGAGGATGTCATTGCAGATAGGCGAAGAATCTACAATGTTACTTTCTTTCCAATGACAAAGGAGGTGCAATGTGATTGTAGTTCGAGACAAGTGGCATACTTTGCAAACACTGTATTAGGATTCTTGATGAAAACTTGGTTGAAGATCTGCCGGAAAAGTACATTGTAGCCCGTCGACGAAAGGACATACCCTGGAAGCACACTAGGGTGATGGTAGCCTACCATGATCCAGGCGACACGGACAATGTGAAGAGATTCAACAAAATGATGGGAAAATTCGAGCCCTTATGTGAAACAGCTGCCATGGTGAACAATCAAATAGTACATATGGTAATTGAAGCACTATTGAAGCTTTAAATAGTTGTAAATTAGTGTAGGGACAAGAAGAGTCAGGAACATGTTCCTGTAGTTAGTACACTGTCATCGGCCGGTGAAGGCAAAACAATTTCCTCAGTTAGGAACCCTGCTCCTACTGCTACTGTAGAGCCTGGAGACCCCTGTTCACCTGCCATGGACCTTGTTATCAAAGACCCTATAATTAAGAAAAGGAAAAGGGGCAGGCCTAAGGGTTCAAGGCACAAATCGTTAGTTGAAACTGGCTACAAGAAAACCAACAAGAATAAGAAGCCTAGTCCTGTAAGATTTATGCTTTCGTTCAATATTAAAGGCTCTGACTGCTTATCCTTTTATTATTTTATTCTCTCTCTGACTGCTGTTTGGATATCATATAGGATGCAGGAAATGGTATTGAGGAGGATGAACATGCACCTAAGGGGAAGGGACTAGGAAAGGCAGGAATGTCAGAACTAGTTAACGAAAAGGGAAAGGCAGAACCAGCAGGTATGGGAAAGGGAAAGGCAGAACCAGGTAAGGGAAAAGGAGAGGCAGGAACAGGTAAGGGAAAGGGAAATGCACAAACAAGTCAGGGAAAGGGAAATGCACAAACAATTAAGGTAAAGGGAAAGGCCAATACTTCTTTGGGGAAGACAAATCAATCTAAGGGGAAGGGCATTCCAATTAAGGGGAAGGCGAATACGTCTTCTCGGAAGCTACCTATAAGTATGAATACTATATTAATGTCATTCTACTTCACTGATTTTTTATATCACATTTAACACATCGCACCTCACAGGTTAAGCAGAAACGTCTTGATGAACTAATGGCTGATGCGTGACCATTTAAGTTTGCTTCAGCGAAGGTACTATCATTTTACTTGAATATTAGTGTGATTGCTGATTCCATATTGGTTGCGTTAAATTAATATACAGCTGGGTTATAGTTCGGATTTTTCCCTACTCATGTATGCAGACTCTAATTATGATTAAATATGAAGACTCGGAGCATATGAAGAAACAGATATAGCTTGTTGTTATGGGAGCATATGAATACTGCATATTGTTTGAGCCTCTTTTATGATTTGTATCAAGACTTATTTGTTTGGAAACATATATAGCTTGTTGTTACTAGTGGATGAAGACCGCGTATTGTTTGAGCCTCTTTTATGGTTTGTATCAGGACTTTTTTGTTTGGAAATTTCAGTATGCCATTTGTCTTGGTAAATGCATATCTAAAGCAAGATGTAAAAGACTACCAAATCCCATCTCACAAACCCAATGTCTTCTTCTGTCATCAAATTTCTGACATATGTGCCCAAATGACTTGATGCGGCAATTCATGTTAGGAGGCTGCCAATGAAATTACGTTCCTATCCCACATCCACTGACCACTGAATCAACAAGCAAACTTACACGACTTCTGGCCTTTGAATGTTTAGCCATCACCTCCGTTCTACCTTTGACAGTCCCTCCATAACTTAATCTGTCATCCTAAGCACACATAAAACCAGTAACTTAATTCATGCATAAACCTTAATCATGCAAAAACACCAATTTCACACACATAGAATTCCATATTGTTGTACCTTAAACAATTCTGGATACAAATGCATGGTCTTCTGCTCACATACCTTACTCTTCTTACTGAGCCCATACCCCTCTTCTTCATCTTTAGCCCTAACCTTCATAACCACAACATACCAAAACATAAAACCATAATTCAAAACATAATCACATCCCCACCCTAAAGAATATATTTAAAAAAAAACCCTCACCATTGTACGTTTACGCTTACCATTCCCCGCTGACATTTTCATAATCCTGTCAAGAACAAATATATCAAATTCGATGTATTAACTACATTACACACAATACTCAATCTACCCACAATAATCAATCATTACAAATCGAAACTCGATACAATTTCACACCATAACACAATATCACATAGATAGAACGAATAATGAGCACCAATGAATGCATAATTCACCTCATTCCATCAAATGAACATTTCAACAGCATAATTCACCTCATTTAATCAACTGAACATTCCAGAGCAGCATAATTGCATGCATCTACATCCAATTAATATTACCCTAACAAACATAGTCGCAATAATTCCATTATTTAATTCTATATAATCGCAATAATTCCATTGTTTAATTCCAGATAATATAACCATTTATAATACGCTAATTCCATAAATTAACAATTAAAGTTGAAGTAATACCATTTTTACCTTTGGTTTTGCATCTGCAACCCTAAAAAATCTGAACTGGAACTGCAACCCTTAACAATCCTCGCCGAAATAATTCTGTCAATTAAAACAATCGATGTACTGAACACTGACCCTCAATCCTAAAACAGTCGAAAAAACAAGAAGCCAGTTCGGATTGAGAAAAAACAAGAAGCCAGTTCGAATTGAAATTGATTAAAAAATAACCTAGATACACCAAGAATTCGAGTTGGACCTCTTCGAGTTGAGTTTCGCCCAGAGTTCGAGTTGGAGCTCTTCGACTTGAGATTCAAAGAATTCGAGTTGAAAACCCAGAATTCGTGCTTTCTTCGAATTTGGTTTCTTCGACTTGAGTTTCTCCCAGATTTCGAGTTGTTTTTTTTAACCCATGAAAATTAATAAACGTTGAAGTTTAATGGCGTCAACTGTGAGATACCCACAAGTAATACAACTGGCAAACCAACTAAAACACGTAAGAATAATGAGGCCACATCACACATCCAGCAAATGACTTATATTAGGTGGAATGTCGGTTCTACCCCCATGAGAAACAAAACCTGTTTCTCACAATGAGGAACAGGGAATTCTTCAAGTTAGGGTGTGCGGCACTGGTAACAACAAAGCCGCTGCCATGAACGTACACTATAATAGGATGTTTCTTCCTAGGAGAATATGACGACGAGTAGAGGAAAACTTGGGGTAAGAAGACTCGAACCCAAGTCGATTTTTCAGAGTTGAGAGTTACATCTTTTGAAAAAGAAGGAGAATCGTGGTCATCGGTGGAAGGAGGGACGGTAGGGTAAATGTCAAAGGGACGAGTGAAGGTTCCATCAAGGTTTGGGGTAACGAGGAGGGTTTCTTTAAGTTTTGGGATTATTTTGTTAGTTTCAGTCATTTTAAAGTAATAATTAAAATAAAATGAGAAGAATAGATGTAGTATTAATTATTGGTAAATGATGTAAATGACTATTGAGAAATGATTTGGTGGTTTTTTTTTAATAATATAGTGGGAGATTGGGTGATCGTTTTTTGTTCCCCAAGGTTCTATTCATGTGATATGGAGGCAAGAATTCAAATGGGGTAAGGCCTTCTTTAGCGGGCGTAGAAATTTCAAATGATAAATTACTTCATATATTAGTACAATTTGATTTCAAAAACTTATTCTTGTGAAAATTAGATCAACTTAGGCAAAATACACCATAGCTAAATAGTTTCTACTCATGTTCATAGACTAATTGTAGAGCGAATCATGCGTTTCAATCATTGAGGTTTCTTAGGCCTTAATAACTCGAGTGAGGATTCTAATAATGTTCGTTGGTATTACCTTGGTATCAAGACGGTATCATTTTAATACCAACACAGAATTATTTTGATACCACTAATTAAAATATTTTACATTTGTTGATACCGTTAACTTGTACTGTATTTTGGTATCATAATTATACCAATAGACGTTACAATCCTTTAGAACTCAAGCTATTTGAACCCAAGAAATTCTCGCATTAGAGATCTAAATAGGCATTAAAAAAACGAACAAATAATAAAGGACTTGTTTGTCTTATTATCTTTTATGTGCATGCAGGTGATGGATTGATAACACAAGTGGTTGTAGAATGATGTAGGCATATGGATTTGAGTGTATGACTAAGTGGGAGCCCCAATATCTCAAATAGAGATGCATTTTTTGTATCTCAAAATGGTACTATTGTAAATAAAAAGAAAAGTATGAATTTTTAATATTTTTTTGTCCTTTTCTTCTTCTTACTGCTCATCTTCTCCATCCTCTATCTTCTTCATGCTTTCTCTCCATCTTCATCTCCATTCTCCATCTTCTTCATACTTTCCTCCATCTCCATCCTCCATCTTCTTCATGCTTTCACCACAAGCCGTCGAATTAAACTAAAACCCTAATAGAAAAGGGAAAAAAGAAGGGTATGTTTAAACCTTAAGGGAAAGGTTGTGTCTTTCTCCATTGAAGACTTTCGCCATGTTCGATTTACCCATTGAAGTTTCTTAAAATCTCCATTAAAGTTTTTCAGTTCTCCGTTGAAAACTTCTGATTTTGTTTAAAAATAGAGGTTTTTTTAGACAAAATTACAACATTAACCTTATTATTAATTTGTAAAAAGACCATATTGCCCTATTGAGATGGTTCAATGTAATCCAAGTTTATATACATGAATTTTCTCAATGACTAAGGCTAAATAAATATCATATGAGGCAATGAAGTATGCGTGGGCTATATTATTGGGCCAATATAGATTTGACTTTTGAGTGGGTCCAAGAAAAGATATTTACCAAAACGTGGGCTGGGCTTGGTCTTCAAGCAAAAAACAATAGACATACTTCGTATATATACTTATAAAAAGGGTTGGGAATTAGAGTAATGCAAAGTATAATCCTTTTATACTCCCCCCGCCTGCAATTATCTACAACATTTACCTAAAATAGGTGCTCTATATTATTTGCAACAAATTTTTTTCTTTCCTTTTTAGGTAATATTTAACTATTAATTACCCACTATTACCCACTTTTTTGGTTAGTGGTCCCCTCCACCACCTATTACCCACTACCTAAAACCCACTACAAATATTTGTGTTCACACTACAAATACCAAATATACCCTTATTTTTCAACACTTAAATGTTTAGTTTATATATATCATCATATGGGTAATTTTGTATTTTTACCATTCTCTCTCATTAATTAAAACCACCAAAACTCAATTAACACTCCCCTAAAAGTTTTGCCTAGGAGTCCAAAATATTGTCCTTTGTTGCAGATAACCTCGGGCGGAGGGAGTATATTATTCTCGTTTCATATTATTTATAATTTTGAAATATTTTATGTCTCATAAATAATATTTTAAAGTTGCAAATAATGTGAAACGAAGGTAATAATTTGGGTTAAAAATATTAATTAATTCATATACATCGTGTGTAATTAAAACTTTTATGTGTACGTAAATTAAGTATGCGAAGGTAGTGTTCCCTTTGCCACTCTAAAATTACCCCATCCAAGTATTGTAACTACGTTAGAGAGAGAGTGGAAGAGATACGACGAGAATAAAAGTAATGTATGTGAAAAGTTGTAGTCCTTTATTTTTGCTTACATAAAATGATACTTATCTAAAGACAAATAAATAAATCACTAATAACTTTTTTTTTTTTTTTTTTTTTATAGCAAAAATCACCAAGAATTTAAGAGAAAAAGCCTTTAACAAAATCCAACAATTCATCTGCCTTAAATTTAGAAGGATGACCCACAAACATCCCATGCTGACCACCTTCACGAAGCTTAGACTTAACTTTCAACCCTCTCTTCTCCATCAACTTCACCAACTCCACACTCCGATCAAAAAGCGGGTCGCCATCACAACTCACCACCCAAACCCGCCAACCCAACTCTCGAACCCGATCCAATAAACTAGAACCACCATCTTTAACAGGGTCACAATACTCATGACCCCGGTTTGCCCCAATCGGCAAAGAGATTTCCCAACACAAATCACTAATTTCAAGTTTCAAAACAGGATCATTTTCCGAACGGAGCTCGGACTCGGTTCGTTTCAAACCGCTAAAATACGGTTGGATCAAAATCAAACCCTTTATCATCAACGGTTTTAATTCATCCACTCGAGCTGCGGCCATTAGTCCAGTATGATAAACTATATTACCTCCTGCACTGTCACCCATCATAACACAACTCGATAAGTCACCGTACTCTTGTATCCACTCATCCTTGCCCTCTTTCACCCATTTCAAAGCCTCCAGAACATCGTCGTACGCTGCAGGAAGACGATGCTCAGGGGCGAGCCTGTACTCAACCGAGACAACCAGCGCAGCGAGCTGGCTTGCTGCGTAAGAGCAGAAATCATGGAAGTTCGGGTGTGCGGCACTAGCAACAACAAAGCCACCGCCATGAACGTACACTATAATAGGACTTTTCTTCTTTGAAGAAGAGGAGGATGATGAGTTAAGGAAAAGTCGAGGCAAGAAAACTCGAACCCAAGTCGATTTTTCGGAGTTGAGAGTTACATCTTTTGAAAGAGAAGGAGAATCGGGGTCATCGGTGGAAGGAGGGACGGTAGGGTAGATGTCAAAGGGACGAGTGAAGGTTCCATCAGGGTTTGGGGTAATAAGGAGGGTTTCTTTGAGGTTTGGGATTTTGCTAATTTCTGTCATTTTTTTGAATTAAATTGAGAAGAATATACGTGGTAAGGTAATAATTGTTGGTAAATTACCTAATAAATGTTATGTTTTGTGTGTATAGTGTAATGTTTTTTTTTGGTTATAAAGGGGTGAGTTTAAATAGGATGAGTTATGAGAAATGATATCGTGAGCTTTTTTATAATAGTGGGAGATTAGGTGATCACTTGCTCCCCAAGGCTTAATAAGTCATGTGATATGGAGGTAAGATCTTGTTTGGCGGGCGCTGAAAGTTCCGATAATATTTTATATTCATTGGTTAACACAATTAGATCTCGAAAAGTATTTACTTATTACTTTATTTTTATCGGTGGTTGAGGTACACCATGTCATGGATTGAAGCTAGGAGCCTTGTACTTCGTTTAAACAAGATCCAAAGATTAGAAAAGCAGCTAACAAAACTGTGATGAAATGGCCAGATTGTGTGCATCTACCAGTAGAAAGACTCCATCCAGAAAACAACTTTGAAGGCCCAAATTGTGTGTAAATTTCAATATCTTTGATCCAACCTTCATTTTTTTTTTTTTTTTTTTTTTCAAAAATTGTTTTGACCTTATTGCCGTTGTCTTCTTAATTTCAATCTATCCTTGTTTTTTTTTTTTTTTTTTTTTTTTTTTTTTTTTTTTTTTTTTTTTCAAACTTGTATAACTAGTAAACTGAAAGCGTTATTATAAGTAAGAAGTACTGCACATAATATTGTTTCAAGATATCTAATCCAATGTATCCAGGGCTCCAGGCCATTGGATAGTGCTGTATTAGTTACACTTACAAAATTATAAGAGGAGTAAAAAGAACCCTCATCCCTAATTATGAATAGAAGGGGTCGTTTGGTTCATTAAATGGAATGGATTGGTATTGGATCTCATAATAGAGAGGTATGGATTCTAAACCACATACTTGTCTAAACTTGTTTGGTTTATTCTTTGGAATGATTTTTACAATTCGTTAAAGGAATGAATTGTGAATATTAGGAGGTAAGGTGGGTATGCGATTCCAGGAGGATAGGATGGAATTAGAACCCCATGGTATAAGATATTGAGATTCCATACTTAAATTTGTTTAACCAAACAATAAAAGGGAAGGAATGAACTAGAACTCCATTCCAAAAACTCCAACCAAACAACCCCTTTATAAAATGAGATTTTACTCTCTACATTCAGTATGGGCTCATCACCAGTGCATAGGCATCTCCTTTTAGTAAAATATAGGGGAAAAAACATATGATAATCAACTTGGTAAATCTAAATTATACTTGTATAAGTAATTTTTATTAGTTCGTGTCCACCTAAATTACTCATAATGCACCTTTTTTTTCCAATTGTTGTCATACATTTTATGATGTTAATTAATGCATCTTGTGTTTTTAGATAGAGAGTAAATTAAGTATGACTCCTTTTGTCTCTAAGATTTTCCCATTTGAGTATAAGAAAATCTTCTTTTTTTTTTGGTGTTTGTTAGAGTTGATGAGAGAGAGAAGTTTCGATTTGTTGGATGGAGTTGATAGTCCTTCATGACTTAGGGTGCATTTTCTTCACATTATATGACTTGAATTTATCTTAGTTGATGAACTTATTAAACTTTGATTACATCTAAATTAAATAGAGTGGACACGATTTTCCCTCAAAAAAATAGAGTGGACACAATTAGAATTTAATTTATTAAACTTGAATTGAAACAAAGTAATAATCTTAGAAACTTATTAGACTTGATTGGAATTAAAGTGAACTTAGTTGAATATGAAACTTATCTCTATTATATATGTAAGTTAATGGTTAAGGTAATGGTATCCACCTCACCTAATATCTAAAATGGATTTAATTTTAATTACTACCTTCTTTACATATTATGTGTAATTTTTGTGTATTATTTATGAGATATAAAAAAGAAATTCAAAAGTTGCACATAATATGTAACAAAGGTAGTACTTTTTTAATAACAAATTATAATGTATATATAAGCTCACATCGCATGCATATAGATCTAATAATTTGTTCAAAGAAACCTCAATAAAAAAAGTTTAAGCATTACATATATGGAGTATTTTTTTATTTTATTTTTTGAAACAATATATATGGAGTATTTTATGAACCAATACTCCCTTCATTATCCCTACAAATTGAATTTTGCACTTATCATCAAAAAATTTTGACCATCCTTCTGCAAGCTAGGTCTATGGTTGCTACTTTTTTTTTTTTATCTTTTTAGAGAGAGATGAACCTGCAACCAATAAGTTTGGAAGATAGGTTTTTGAAGTGATGAATGGAAAGAGGTTCGTGATCATTACGCATCTAAATTTCAATTATTATGAATTACTCATAGTGAAAAAAAAGGCCAAGGTCACTATACGAATAGTGCAAAAAGTAAAACTATGTTGATCAAATTAAAACAAAGTGAGTGCTTGTATTAGTTAAGCAATTACAAAATCATGCATTATTGATTAGTGATAATAATGTGTAATCAGTAATGCTTAACGTTATTAACATCCTATATTTTGGAAGCTGCAAGATCTGATTAATTATAATTAGAGGGATGATTTCAGATGCTCAACTCTCATTGCCAATAGATATCAGAATTCCTCGACAAGTCCAAAAATTAATTAACCACTGGACTCTTTACTTAACATATTAAAGGTATATTACTGGTGAAGGAAAATTTAAAGGTGAAATTCATAAGAGGGAGATAGCATACTAAAAACTTGTTTATTCGAATAAAAATTTGAGAGCTATAAGATTGACAAAACTTTTACACCTCACAACATAAGAAGAAATACAGAAAGAATTTGTAATCTTCTTTGTTACTCAATAGTTTAATTAGCTTAGGGTTTAGTTAATGTCGTTGGATTATTAATTTGAATATAGGGCATATAAAAGTAAGGCAATAATTAGGAATGAGTAGTCAATTAGCCACAAAGGCTAACAAATTGATTAGTATGACAGTCTAAATAACTATCAAATTAAGCACACTGCCTAGGGTAGTTTGAACTAATTGAGTACAGTGATTTAGATGTATTGAATTGAAAATAATGGAGTTTAAAGAGCATTTGGAGTTACTGTAAATCTGTAATACAGTACGTAAAAGCCTTAAGAAATAAAATTAGGTCATGGCAAAGTTTAGAATAATAATCGTACGTCCCTTTATTCAAATGATCGGTTACTAAAATATGCAACTTCCAATCATTTCAAAAGGAAGCAAATAATAATATAACTAACACAAAGAAGCAGAGATCTAGATGATCATCAAGACATATCATGCATGTACCGTGAAGAAAATGTTAGGGAAAATCACAAAAACGGAAGAAAAATTCACTAGCAAAGCTTTAATAAGAAGTTATTCTAATAGGCAGACTGACAGAGTAACTCACTTGACTTATAAATACGTGATTCTAATAAGCAAAGTAACTCACTTATAAAGTTATTAGTTAGATGTTTCGTGCTTCTAATACTTTTAATACGAAACAAACTACGGACTAATCTAACACTCACAGGTGCACCAAATTATAAATAACCTCCTCCTATGGAAAAGACTTGATTGAAACATCAAATTATACCGTATACAAAGCACACCCAACTAGAAATAAAGAAAATTAATGTCCCTTCAGCTTTATAATATGAAATTAATTACAGTAGTTTTATATCTGTATGTACCCAACCCTATTTCTTTCAAAAATAATACACAACCAAGTATAAATGATAATAGTGTCACTCCTATTTTAATTTTACATCTCAAAGTACCAGTGTATAATCTCTAGCTTACAGTAATTATTACATGTCTACAACACTACATGAACAAGCTTTGATTTACATATATGTGACATCTACAGTACCAGTGTATAATCTCTAGCTTGAACATTTAATTATAACTTATGAAGGTAATATTTAATGTCATACTAATTTCCAAATGCCAACAATGCTAGATGGGTTAGTCTGACAATTTCATATATGTACTCCTGTTAGAATACGTCTTGAATTAATTGATCACATCCAAGTCAACATAATTCGTATAATGTATCTCAAGATAATGCTGTGACGATTAGCTTCGATCTAATTTCTAACCTAATATTACTTTTTAACTTCTAGGTTTGATAGATCTCTCTTAGACTAGTATTTAACTCCGCACTCGCTAAAAAAAAAAGGCTCAAGGCACTTAATTAAGAAACAATAGGAGTAATCTAAAAAGCAAAGTACAGAACACATTCTCAAATAAAAGACACATCCCAAACCAAAAAAATGAACAAGAGAAAACAAGTCAATTGACACACAAGTAGTAATAATCCAAATGAGTAGTAATAATGAAGTTAATTAACCAGTCTATCCCAAATTGGTAGAACACATATATTGATTCACAAATTAGTAGAGTAATAATTACCAAAAAAAATTCCTTACTGAACAGTCACAATCACTGACTCACATCATTTCTCCTACACTTAATTTCTAGCTTCAATTATCCAATTAATTACCACCCAATAATTCCCCCTTTTTTTTCTTTTTTGGAAAATAGGGTATCCCAATAAATTTCTCAAGAAAACCCCTCAAAAAAAAAAAAAAAAAAAAAAAAAAAAAAAAAAAAAACCTAGCATAAAAAAAGTACCCTAAATACCCCCAACAATGAACAGTCATTTTTATAGGAGTATTTCCTCTTTCTACCACATACCCTGACAAATGGCACAAACCCACATAAACATTTTTCCCCAAATATAGATATCAATAAATTAAAATGAAAAATACTCTAAAAAAAAAGACCTGTAATTTTGAATTAAATTTGTTGCAGCAGAATGCAGAAATCAATTGCAACGAGCAGAGGCGGCGGATGAAAGCGACGACTGAATCTGCAACAAGTGATGGTAACAGTCAGCTGCTGTTGGTCGTTGTTCTGGGTTTTGCTCCATGCATTTTCCTTCCAACTCTATAAGCTGTTTTCCAACTATTCCTTCTGATTTCACTTCACTTGTCTTTATCAAATTCCCTATTCCATACACATCTACTTTCACTCCATGCACTCCTCTCCCCATCTCCGGCGCCACCGCTGTCATCGTTATTACGTTATATGGATTTATCTGGGGTGCCCCTACCGCCTCCTCGAACCCTGCCACGAACCACTCCTCCGCCTTTGACATCATTAGGACTTTTTCCCATGACAAGTCTCTATGCATGAAACTTAGGTCATGTAACGCTACTAGTGCTTTTGCTACTTGTTTTAGGGCTAATACTAGTTGTTGTGTGTTTTTTGGCTTTGTTTTTATTCCTCTTGGCTTGAACACAAGGGCTAATTCTTCTTCGTCGTAGGAGATCATGTGCTCCGCGTGTGGGACTACTCGTTGGTCTAGGACCGAGTAGATTTCCTTGGTTGTTTGCCATCTTCGTTTGCTAGGGTAGAATCTTGTCGTCGTCGTTGTTGTCATTTCAATTATGTTTCCATCGCCTTGATCATGTCGTTCATAGTCACTTTGACAACCATTCTTGGTGCACCTCTCGGCTAAAGAGGCTAATAAGATGCCAATTCTCCAACATGGGACTAGTAACTTGACTCGCTCTGAAGGGTTTGTTAGGTCTAAGGAGTAGAGGTCGGTTCGGGTTATTTGCGAGTCTTGAGATGATGAAGGTGAGGGTGAGGGTGGGCTTAATGCACAAAATGTGACATTATGCCCAAGGGCATAGTACCCTAACACATAAGGAAGGTCATTGTAGGTCCATGAAATTTTTTGTGTAATAGTGGAAGAAGGATCAATAAAAGGTTGTGATTCTCTAATTTGATCAATTTCCTCACCTCTCCATAAACAAAGATTCTTAACCATGCCTGTTAAATTCGGCCATTGATCTCGAAAAGACTCGGAAGATGTTGCCTTGGTGAGTTGTTTTCTTGTAAAGACCATCTCAGATGGACAAAATTTTGATACCACTCGGTTGATGCAATCATCCCATAAGGAAATGTAGGAGTCCCGGCTTGATGAAGTTGAGGCGGTTATGCTCGGGATTGATCGGATGAGCGAGCTAAGGATGTCAATAGTGAATGATTTACAATCTAGTGGCTCGTTCGAGGATGTGGTGAAGAAGAGCTCTCTCCCTTGAGGCAAATCGCGGTATATGTCCTTGCGAATGGGAAGCCGAAACTCCTCCGGTGGAGGCTCTTGTATGTACCATGAGAGCTCAAGCAATGTTGGTAGTGTTGTCGGTGGTGATCTTAGACAGCCAAGATAATACTCTGTAGGGTCTTGGAACTCCCCTACAATTACGAAGTTAACAAATCACTAATAAATCACTTTATGTAATAAACTTTTCTTAAACAATTCCGTCAAAATGATTAGGTGTTTATATATTAAACCAAAAATAATGAAGCCAAAAATTAATAAAGAAGAAGTATATAATTGTTTTCATTTGATCAAGAACTTACATCTTATAGAGGGTTCAGCTGCTATTGCAAAGGGAAGTCTCTCATTAAAATCTACAAATAACAAAAACATAATAACATGATCAAATACACACATTATTATGCAACATTGAAGTAACACTATTATGAAGTAGTTTTAGCGAGAGTGAGGGATAGCTCAGTTGGTAAGAGCTTTCCTCCCGGTTCCAAGTGATCTTCCCCGCCCTAGTGGCTCATATGAACCAATAAAAAAAAAATGAAGTAGTTTTAGCAAGTGTTGAAGTATGTTATTACCGGCTGATGACATAGAAGGCAAAGGCGAAGAGGAGTGCTTTCGTCTTCCTAACACCTTGAGCTGCTGACCAGGGGCGAACCGGTCGACGGAGAAGCCCTTGAGGGGGCCATCTTCGAAGGCTTCCAAAGAGGAAGCCACCATAGAATCATCAAAGTAAATAAGTTCATCTGCATTCAACAAATTGTTAGACCCTTGTACCTTTACTCTCCCTCTATGGTACTCACCTTCTTCCGCCCACAAGCTCACCCACTCTTCCCATATCATCCTCATTCTTCCGATTCTTCGGAGCTCGACTCTCGGCGATCCACTCGTCGTAGACAACGGCGACATTCCTACGTTTGACGAAGAATGTGGCTCGAACCCAAGGAAGGGATTCCTTGGGTTATGCATCAAGTAAGATTGCATTTGCCTTGCCCTTTCTATAAAAAACAAAAAATGCAAATTATTAATAACTTTATTCCGATTCAATTATCACGTAACTAGGTCGTTATTGATAGAGAATATTACTCTTTTCGAAATCATTGATGAGTATATTCGAGTAATATTCTCTATTAGTTTCAAATTACAGTATCAACAACATGTGATAATAACAATAAATAAATAATTAAATAATACGAGACTGAGAGGAGTATACAAACACGACATACCTGAAAACATGCTAGAAAGAGGAAAACTATCATCCCTAAAAGGGTGAGGAAGAGTCAAAGCTTTAAGACTAAAATCACAAGGATTAGTAGTAGTAGTACTAGTAGAAAATGATCTAGAACAAGTTTGAAGAGAAGTAAGATGAGAAGAATGTCTCATTTTAGGGCCCATAAATTGAGACAATTCTTCAAAAACTTCTTCATCAAAAGAAGCAGGTAATCTATGAATCTTTCTTTCATAAGGTGAAAGTCTAAAATAACTCTTTCCAACTTGTTCTCTTTCACTACCTCTTTCCCATTCATAAACCTTCCTAAACTCTCCCAACATATTGTCCCACTTTGTCCCTGCTGTTTTTGCATCCCTATTTACTCCATACTTGTTTAAGAATTCTGCCACTTCTCTATCTTTTTCAGCTCTTGTTTTCCCTCTCCCTCCACTTCCTCCTACACTGTCATACCCGAAACCGGAACCGGAACCTAAACCCGAACCATCCCCTTGGTACTGAGCCCTCCAAGCCTTAGCTAGCCAAAGCATTTCATGGGGTTTCCAAACTGGACTTACATACTTCCCTTTCCTAAACTGCTGCTGCTGTTGTTGTTGGTTTTCTTGTTTGTTAGTGAGTTCTTGACCAGTTGAAGATGGTATTGGAGAAAGTGAAGGTGAAGAAGATGAATCAGGGGAAGTTAATTGGGCTTGTGGGTTTGAAGGAGATGGGCTTGATTCTGGGTTTTGAAGGCCCAATGGGCTTTGTTGCTTCCATTGATGATGATGAACATATCTTGGCCTTTTTGATTGCTCAAAATCAAAGCTTGAAGGAAGAAACAGAGGAGGTGGAGGAGGTCCCCTGATTTTCTGGGTTGTTGCTGAATCTCTCTCTTCTTTCTGATGATGTGGGGAATTTTCTCTCTCTTCTTTGTTTTCACTCATTTCATGGAATTTTAAATAAAAAAAATCCACTGTTTTTGGTATGAAAAAACAGGGGACTCTGTAAAATTAACAGGGGAAAATAGATGGGTTTTTCTAATTTTGCTGGTTGAATTTGAGAGAAAAATGGGAGCTTTAAAAAAACCCAAGAAACTAGGGTTTTGGAGGGGTTTGTACAAGGAAGATTTATGTACTTAGTACAGTATTATTACTATTACAGTGAATATTAATATTATTAGTAAATGTTTGAAAGTGAAAGTAATGGAAAAAAAAAACAAAAAACAGAGGAAGAAGGAGGGAAAAAAAGTGGGAGAGAGATTTGTGGAAACTAACTGTACTAATGAATGTGACTGTTCAGTTTTGGCATTGTTTTTCAATTCAAAACCCTGTAAAAAAGAAAAGTTTTATGAAAAAAAAAATTATTTTTTGAAAATTTGATGGGTCATTAGGATTGAGAGCGAAAGTACGAAACAAATTTGCATGATTAATTGGAGAATAGAGGGAGTAATGATTGTACTCAGGTCTGAAATACGCGGCTCTTATCATTCTTTTGCTGCTGTAAATTTCAGTTATGTCAAAGTATGTTATGTAATGCAATGCTATGCTTTTAATTTGTTGGAGAGATTAGATGTTTAGACTATTTTTTTACGTGGAAATTAATAGTCGTGTATACTATTTTACGTTATGATTTATCCTCCTCTTATCAAATCTTATTTGAGCTAAGATTAGCCATTGTGCTCTTGTTGAATCGGAATGATTTACTACTCATATATGTGCAAGGTTATATATGTTGTATTTATGTACAAAGCTCTAGAGTAAGTCCAGAAGGATTATGGTGTTTTCGACCTCACTGCCTCAAGTGCCCCAATGTTGAATTGTTTTGCAAGTAGTTTCAATGAGAAATAGGAAGGAGAACAGACACATTTCAATAATGAGTAAAAATCCAAGTTTTGATTTTGTATTGTTTAGTTTTTTTTTTTTTTTTTTTTTTTTTTTTGGTTGTATTGTTTAGTTAAAAAAGTATGAAACGAGTAACTTCATACGGCAAAAACTTTGGTCAGTCGAAATAGATTAATACCAATAAGTAATAATCAATACCACCAATAAGTTTTTGCCTAGTAACTAAGACCGAGCTCCGAGAAGCAAATTTTCAATCCAATTTTAATAGGTTAGAGAAAACAGCTTGAGCTAACTTAACTAACTAACTAGGTTAAACGGCCTTAAACCTGTAATAAAAAATAAAAAAAATGCTAGGTTAAAGAGCGGCCGAGGCATGACTTGAGTAGTTGAGCTTACTTAGTCACATGTCATGTCATGTTTCAATATGTTTATGTTTAAATCAATAAATCATATCTTATACCTTGTCATGTTTTTCCAAAAAAAAAGTATACGGAGTAGATCAATTAGGATCATCGGATTGAGCATGTAGAGTAAATGAGTAGTGCATAGTGGCATATTATCCCAATAGTGTTTTTTGGTCGTGCCATACCTTGAGCAAATCCGACTTGACGCAATAGTGCCATCTTTAGAATATACTTTTGTATTATACTAGATGAAACCTGTGCGATGCACGGTTTATTTGTATTTTTTCAAATAAAATATTTTACTAAATATATATTTATTTAATAAACTTTGTGATATTCACTTGCTTACTACTTGAATTTTTTATTATAAAATGAATTATTAACTTTGTTTCTCATATTTAGATATAAAATTCGTAATATAAAAAGATAATAGTTTATTTCACAAAATTTAATTTCATATGTTGCTGGTCACACCGTGTGGTCTGGATTACTTGGTCAGAAGTTACTTGGTTGATCAAGGGTTACTCAATCGATCAAAGGTTACTCGGACGGTTAGGGGTTACTCGGTCAGTGTCTGAGTGTGTCTCATCTGGCCATACGATATGGCCAGTTACATAAAAAACCCGCTTATTTTATTTTTATAATTAATGTAAAATTTTTGATCTAAAATAAATTGCAATTCTTCTTCTTCGTTGGCTAAATATAATATTTTCCTATGTGACGCTCTTACGTGGCATAATCCTATTGTAGCGTTTTAGAATAATTAATCCTACGTAGTGCTTTTTTTTTATTTTTTTTATTTTTTATTATTATAATCCTACGTAGCACTTTAAAAAAAAATCTCACATGGCATAATTCGATTGTAGCGTTTTAAAAATATTAATCCCAAGTGTCGTTCTAATAATTTTTTAAAAAATAAAATCCTACGTGGCGCTAAAAACTTGGGAAAAAAACTCCCTTTTATATATATATATATATATATATATATATATATATATATATATATATATATATATATATATATACTAGTTTTATGCACAGACGATGCCCGCATTGTCCTAAACTTTTTAGCAATGTTAAATACGATCATATAACCCCTTTTGATATTGTAAAATATTTAGACATACGATATCATATCACTTACATTTATATAATAGTGTACTTTTTTAGTTTTATTTGTAAATAGATATAATGTTATTATCAACTTGATATTTTTTTTATTGCACTTAAATTAATTCTAATGAACTGAAAGTATTTTTACCAAACTAAAATTATTTTTTCTTATTAAAACTTATTTTTACTGATTTTCTATTTTTTATAAAAATATATTATAAATGGATCTCATTTTAAAGAACTTTTTTAAATGAATTTTATGATGAAAATAGTACTGAGTTATAAGATATTTATTAAAAGTTATAATTAATTTTGTATATATGAAATATTAGAATTATATCAATAATAAAACATTATACTTTTTATCTTTAAAAAATCTATCCAAAATACGCTTATTTATCATCCTATGTGTCACAATAATACCTATTTGTCGCCTACGTGGCTCGACAGTTGGTGAAAAACTGGAATGTCAAGTGTCGTTGTCTTATGACCTGACTGCGAGACTTGCTTTATATATTAGTGATATGATATGAATGAAAATGAAGCAGAGAAAGCCGAAAGGTGATGGGAGATAGGATATCTCCAACTTTTATTGAGCTTTCTATCTATCTGGGTCTATTTTCCAGGGTGGGTTCTTTATTTTTAGGGATGTGGACGACACGAATTCAATGACTATTCAAGAATTTAGAGTTTACAAACTCAAATTATATACGTAGTGAAATTGGAAAGTGATATTTTATTTTTTTTTATTTGGAGGAAAGGAAAATGATGTTTTTGGATTTGCATTTCAAATTTTAATGGTTGATTTTTGTTTTTGCAAAAATATTATGGGTTTTTATATATGTTAATACTTATGCAAAAAAAAAAAAAAAAAAAAAAAAAAAAAATCATTATCCGTATATGTAATCATAATTAAGTTTCACCAATAATACAAAAATAAATAATCTAATAAAAAAAATAAATTATAAATCGAGTTATTGGGAGACAGTCAATATTAATTAATTAATTAATACAATAATATGTGGGATAGTTCTTGATTTCCACATGTTTTAATCTTTTAACTATCTCAATCACTTTTTCTACTGTATAACAAAACAGAAGCATGCAGAGATATCGACAGTGAACTACAAAATATCATCATCACGATCAGATACACCCCGAAATAATAGAGGGAAAAGAAAAAGAGAGAATGGAAAATATACAACATTGTTTTTGTTTTCAAGTGGTAATGTATGCACTCCACCAATAGGATGGGGATATGGAACCATTCAGTTTGATTACTTTAGACAATTAGACAAATAGATCAATTAAAGGATTGAAATAATTATATAGATTAATTTCCAAATCCCATAGAAAATTCAATTTCCTAATTCTTCTAACCTTACATATAACTTCACGTACACAAATGGTTAATAAATTTAGATTGTCATTAAATTTAAATAAAGGGAAATGGTGAAGTGGTCTGGCCTTAGGAAGATTGTCCTTTTTTATTTTTTATTTTTTTTGAGGAAAATTGTATCTTCAATCGTATTATGATAAAGAGAAGCTAAGGACTAAATGTGGGGTCCTCTCCATTCGAGGATAAACCGTAATGTATTAGACGTGATCAAATCTAACCGGCCCGATTTTGGGCGGGTTTTGGGCAGTTTTTTCGACTGGATCGGGCTCGGTCCACAATTTTGTTTTTTTGGACGGGTTTGGGAATGCGGTTTTAAGCATTTTTAATTGTTTTTTGGCCGATTTGAAACTGGTTTGAAAATCCCGGCCATTTGGGCGGGTTTAGGCATAAAAATTCCGGCCTGAGAAGCTGGCTGTTTTTTTTGGCAAATGATCACCTCTATAATGTACTTGTATCAAATACAAGAAATTAGAGGTCGATACATGTGGTTGCATAAACTATTTAATGAGCATTTGATGATGGAACATTATTGGGGATGGACAAACGAGATATGAGGCATCACCTTCCAAAATTTAAAATTGTTAAGATTAATATTTATTTTGAAATAAGGTTTATTTTGATTAATTGAATCCCTTCAAAACAAATGATTTGATCTCATGATCTCACCTGAAACAACAATTCTATGTAACGGAGTACAATGTAAGAATTAAAGATAGAGAATATACTAAAAAATTCTTTTCTTATAAAGCCACTTAAAATCTGTGCTTAAAAAAAATATAATCACTAGTGGACTTATGATTAAGAAGGTTATGGTTCAAGAATTTAGGCCCATATTATAGCATGTTTAGTAGTCCCAGTCAAGAGATTAATCCTCCAATAGCCTACATAATCATGTGATAATGTCCCTACTCTACTACCAGGGACTTGTTGTACTCTACAAAATGCGATGGATCAAGCCCATCAAACTATAGCACATGAATTTCTAAAAATGTTGTACTCCTCCATACGTGGCCATATAATACACCAAGTACTCCTAACGTGCTATTTCACATATACCGTTTTGATTATATATGTTTCGTTATTTTCACTCAAAATTTTCCTACTTATTTTTAAGCTCGTAAACCCATTTCAGAACTTACTGATTATCTATCTGAACTTACTTTTCCCAAAACTATTTTCATTTAGATAAAATGAACAAAATCATACGGACAACATATATACTCTGTAGATCGATATAGTACGTCTCGATGAATTCAAAGCTCTTACTTATAAATGTGTCTTGAAAAGTAGTACAGAAACATTTGCACTATCACTATCAAACAGCATTGACTCTGATGTTTGCAAAATGTGTAGAGATGATCAACATAAATTTCGGGTCTATCTTGGATGCTATATATAGTTTTGTCATTTTGTCTCATCAACAAAACATAAAAGTTCCTTTTATCCTTGTCCTTGTAATATAATGCATGCTTATAACTTAAATAAACTTTTCTTTTATGACTTTTATCCTTAGCACAGAAAAAACTCCATAAAATTCAGAAACCGTTAGCTTTTGCATATTCAATATCCATGTAATATAATTAATAGCCTAAGGTCTGATAATATAAGCTATAGTTCTGTTATACTATAGTATAGTATAATTATAAATATAAGTAGGTATATAGGGTTAGCACTTAGGTCATAGCTAGGGTGGCGTTCTCACTTTATACATGCATATTATTGCATGCGTCTGAAAAAATAGCAGCAAATAAACCAAACCATGCATAAATAAGCTAGCTTCATTTCATTATTGCTCATTCACGAGTTTATGTTTTGGGACTTTTTAGTAAGAAAGAGATTGTTCAATTATTTATTTATTTTTGTATAATAGTTTTATTTAAGTCACTGATTTTTCATAAGTCCTACTTAAGCTTTAATGTCGGACGTATATAAATGATGGAATGAGCAGGGAACATTATAGCTGTTTGTGGCTGCTTTTGTTATTTCTAAAATTAGTAGTGCACCAAAATTAATTTATAATTTGAGGGCAATATCACTTCAAAATAAGATTTATTGCTTTTAATTAATTCAATATAATTATGTTGTATTATCATTATAAATCACAATAAATTTGGTTAGACCTAAAATAAATGGGCATCGACCTAGCCTTTCTGGCCTGGCAATTATTCTAATTGGCTTAAGTAATGTTGAGCCAATGAGCCTAGTGTATGTAATTAGTGTAAATAGTTACATATACGAAGTATTATTTTATGATGTCTTGCAATTAGACCAGTGCGCATATGTTCAAGTATTAAGCATGGATGTAACGTATTGTGTTTGGTAGTCATAGCTATAGGATTTGAGTTTTAAAATTAAAAGAGCACGGCCTTGATTATCGATCAACATCCCACGACCGTGCCATGCATTTGTATCAAGGTATTATTGATTAGGCTATTGGCCAGGCAGGGGT